TAATATTTAAATAGTGTTAACTATTTGCTGATACTGGCCTACATACTATACTCTCTATATTTTAACTCAAATAATTCTTTCAACAATTCTAACAGTAGGTACTTTTTTTTTTTTAAACTTGAGAACACAGTAGGTACTATTTTTTAGCCTATTTTTCAGATGAGGAGTCTGAGGAATAGAAATATTGCCAAAGTAATGAAGCAGGCATTCGAACACAGGTAGTCTGGCTCGAATATATGTACTTAACCACTATATTATATTGTATTTAAATGTATTATTTTTTAAAATTCTCACAATACTCTATGAGGAAGATACTATTATTATCACCAATTGACAGAGGCAGAAACTATAGCACAGAGAGGTTAAGCTAGTTGCCCAAGGTCACATATTATTAAGTGGAAGAGTAGGAATTCAAATCCAGGCAGCCCAGCCTCATGTGCTAATCCACCTCCTTTCTCACACTGCACCATGTTCTCTTATCTTCTTCTCATCAGAAGGGTGAACATGCGTGGACCCCATTCTCTCGCTTTCTCAGAATACTCACCTGAAGGAGCAGGACTTCTCCTGGGTGGAGACAGGCATGGGGCAAGAGACAAGAAAAACTACAAGAGGTGACAGGTATTCTATACTTGAAGGGAGACGAGCAGGTGAGGCCACAAAGGGGAGGGAAAGCTAGAGGAAAGAAAACCAGCCAGGCACACTGACAGTTCCAAAGGAAAAATGACAGAGAACTACTAAATTGATACTCAAAGGGGCTGCAAAGTAGATTTTGGTACTGAATGGATACAGGAATAGAAAATGTATATTCCATGTAATTAGCTATTTCCCATTAGACATTCTCAACTTTAAGTTTACCTTAATATAGACTAATTATTGAGACAGACAACACTCAGAGAATAAGAAAAAGTTTTTAGCGATATCTTTGTGAAAAGTGGACAGTTAAACTGTTCTGAGAAAAATCCCAGTCAATACAGCATTGGTTTGCTTTATTTTCTATTGCTAGCCACTGAGCAACTTTACTGCCTATATAAACAATCTCCGAAGGTTCTGTCTTTTCCTTCTGTGGTCATTTCCTGACCCAATTTATTTACTGGGCAGGGGATGAAACAGAAGAGGCTGGAGTCTGTGACTGAGAGTTTATAGTAGGACTGGCAGTGGCAACGCTAGATGGGACCCGCTGACTCAAGTCTGTACTGTACATCCACGCTTCAAACAACGCAGCCGCCCAGTGAGGTCCAGCTATCTGTCAACACTGCAGAGAGCCCGGGGCTTTTACACTGAACAGCACATCAGATTTTAAGTCTCAAAACCTCATTCTAGAAATGAGGACTAAAAATGTTCTGTTTTGCTAAACTCAAGTTTTTCAAATGTGTATAACTGGGAAATGGATGAATTTTTCTGACTCCTCTATGAAACATAAAAATATTTTAATTATTTATACATTGTGAATCAATGTTATGTTCTGGGCTGAAAGAGAACTCTGGCAATACAAGGTGAAGTTTAACCTTCTAAGTCTTTATCACAAAACTTTATGCGAGATAAAAGGAATCTTGTAATTCAGGAACAATATTTTGATTTATGAAGTATCCATTTCCTTCAATGTTTAATTTTCTTCTGTTTCCTGGGATGTAGTAATTTCTTATTTTCACCTCTGTAAGGCTAATGGGAAGGAGGGGAAATTCAATTTACACAGTAAATCTCTTGAGAATCTGATTCATGTCTAAAACATCTATTAAAACAACTCATTTTAATGAGTGTTTGGGTATAGAAATCTTGGTTAAAAAAAATTCCTTTAGGATTCTGAAGGCAACTTGCACTTGTTGTCTAGCTCCCAGTGTTGCTGCTGAGAAATCTGATGGCATCATGATTCCCATCTTCTTGTATGTGACTTTTCCCATTCTCTCTGGTATAGCCAGCGTTCTAAAATTCCAGATATGCCTTAATGTAGGTTTATTTCATTTTGGTCTATTTTGCTGGGAATCCCATGGTCTCATAAATTGGAAATTATTGCCCTTCAGTCCATGGAAGTTTTCTTGAATTACTTCGCTGATGATTCCCACCCTATACACTTTATCTTTCTCTCTTTCTGAGACTTGTATTATTAGATGCTGGATATTCTAGACTGGTCCTCTAATTTTCTTACCTCTTTCTTGTACTTTCCATCTCTCTGCCATTTGACTCTATCTGAAACTTTAGGGCCAAATGTATATCAGACTTCAGAATTTTTAGGATTTTGGCAGGCAATAATGGGTATAATCTATAATGTAAAACCCTTAGTGAGACGTGGGGCAGTGACAGTTCTTTAGCAAAATGTATGCATATTCACATAAATAAAGATTATATATAGGTTGTGAGGTTTGCTGTAAACTTACAAAAATCAGTTTTTTCAGGACTTTTGGAGTTTAGAACTGTGGAAAAGAGACTGTAGACAAGTAGCTTTTGGATGGGGGTTGGTCTTCAGTCAAGGGGAATCTTCCTCACAGGATGAATTAGATATTTTCAGTGTTACAAAGTTAGTCACATATAGTATTATAAGGGATGTGGTTCTGAAAACTGCAAAATTCAAGACTAAACTTACCAAAGGATAGAAGATATCTCTATAACTGCTAAGAGTAGAACTGCCTTGTGAATTGCCACACAATGCAGATAGCTTTGAAATCAGGCAATTATTAACAAAGTTTTCATTTAGGAAGATTCACATTGGTTCTGTTAAAAGGAGCCAGACTGGACCCAAAATGGAGTTGCTTATGCCCATGTCAACAAACCAAAACCTAACTAAATGTCTATGCTTGGCTTTCCCAGAAAAGGCAGGCCTACATCAACCAACCAGCACTTGCCTGCTCAGCACAAGGTGCCACACCCAGCTCCAAGATTTCCCTTTCCTCCATAGAAGGAGAGCAACCCTGCTTTAACCAATTAGCAAATGCCCAGTAGGACTTCCTTGTTCCTGCTCCCTTCGGCCTATAAAATCTCTTGCTTTGTACAGCTCTTCAGAGCTCCTTTCTATCTGTTAGATTGGATGCTAATCAATTCATGAATCACTGAATAAAGCCAATAAGATCTGTATAATTTTCTTAGTCAAATTTTATTCTTTAACAGTTTAAAAGTTGCCCCAAAGTGAAATTTCATTAATTTTTCTATATCCCATTTCAGTTCTAAACAATTCAAATTTGTATAAAATAAGACTGTGATGTATTTTATACCCTAAGCACATCTAAAGGATATATGTGTGTTTGTGCTTCACACCCTTGAGAGGAAGCAATAATCATGAAGTTAACAATATTAACAATATATAGAAAGGATGTTTTGAGTCTCACATGACCCTTGACGCCCCAGGCCTCTAACTCTAGTCTGAAGGAGAATGTGCTGATAATAATCCCTCTGTTGTAGGCTGAAGGTAATAGAGCCCAACAATACATCACGTGATAGAAAGATTTACACCCCATTTTTTCCACTATGTTCCACAAGTCCTTACTTGGGCAAATGGGCCCATTTTTAAGGGGTACAACTTTTTGGCTATGTTTTAGTGGGTAACCAATCCACAAGGGAGTCAGTGGGTAATTCCAAGGGAAGCTGGTCAGACTGATCTTCTGACAGTAGAGGAGGGCAAGAAAATCAGACTGCATCTCCAAAGAAAGGATGTAGCAAAGAGACCGAGGATGGTGGACAATGTGGGGTCAGAGCCACCTTTATTTAGCGGTAAGCTCGAAAGCCAAGAATAAACATCAATTATATACTAATAGGAGTAATAAGAAGAGGACAATGGTTCCTGCCCTCAAGAAATGTATAATCTAATAAGTAGGCAGAAAATGTATATAAATATGAACCTCAGATCTGAAAATTATTCACCAAAGCTTGTTTACTTCAAACACTTTGGTTTTTCATGCCTGCTGGCATTTGGAAAGACATCTAAACATACAGGAACTGCTGTCCTTTCTTCTCTGCAGCAGGCTCAGGAATAATCAAGCCTTTGCAGACCAAGGGGGGAGACCCCTAACTGCGCTCCCTCGCTAATGCACAGTATGAGACCAACTGACTGTCAAAACAAGCTCTCATCTTAAGAACACAATGTTAAAATCAATTTCTAAAAACATTTTAGGGATAAAATTCCAGATTTCATTGCTTATTTCTCCTTTTTGTATGAGAAGTCCTTTCTTTTGTTCCCCCCATCAATAAGATGGGACTATCCAACATAAACAAGACCAGTATTAAAATACTGTTGTAGCTCACAATAATAAAGAAAAGCACATGTAAGTGACATCAATCGGAACAACTGATTTAAAAAGCAATTATCTTAAAGAACTATTTAAACAAGTAATTTCCAAACATTTCTAATTTATTCTCTAATCTTATCAGATATATTCATTTGATAGATGAGGAAACTGAAACTTGGGAGGTAAAATGATTTATTCAAGACACAGTTATTGCATAAAGATCACACAATCTTTGATAATGATCTTATTTTACTCATCCAATCAGCTGTCAAGTCCTGTCTATACTACCTTCGTAATTTCTCTTTAATTCCCTCCTCTACATAAGCACTGCAACCCCCTAGTCCAGAACCTCATTATCAACTCCAAGCCTAAGACTCTTTCCTAAGAGTGTCCTGGCTTCTCTACTCATCTTGTATACACAGCAGATTAATCTTCTGGAAGCACAATTCTCACTTCCATTGATTTGCACAAAAACCTTCAATAAAGTCATTTCTCAGTTAGGTATTCAAATACTCTTTCCAATAGGAAATCCAGTGACCCTTTCCCAGCTTACTTCCCATTAGTATGCCTCAACACCCAAAACTTTAGCTCAGGGGGTCCTCAAACTGCGGCCCGTGAGCCACATGCAAATACAAATATTGTATTTGTTCCCGTTTTGTTTTTTTACTTCAAAATAAGATATGTGCAGTGTGCGCAGGAATTTGTTCATAGTTTGTTTTTTTAACTATAGTCCGGCCCTCCAACGGTCTGAGGGACTGGCCCCCTGTTAAAAAAGTTTGAGGGAAAGCAGCCACGAGGTTATCGCGAGAACCGCCTCCAGACCAAGCGCCTGTGTCTGGCAGAGCCGGTGTGAGACGAAGAGACCAGCCTTGCCTGCCGCCGGGGTCATCAAGAGTTTCGGCCGGACCTCCGAGCACACACCGAGATAGTGAGGAACCAGACGCAAAGCACAGACTATGGCGCTGAAACAGATTAATAAGGAACTTAGTGATTTGGCCCGTGACCCTCCAGCACAGTGTTCTGCAGGTCCAGTTGGGGATGATATGTTTCATTGGCAAGCCACAATTATGGGACCTAATGACAGCCCATATCAAGGTGGTGTATTCTTTTTGACAATTCATTTTCCTACAGACTACCCCTTCAAACCACCTAAGGTTGCATTTACAACAAGAATTTATCATCCAAATATTAACAGTAATGGCAGCATTTGTCTCGATATTCTAAGATCACAGTGGTCTCCTGCATTAACTATTTCTAAAGTTCTTTTATCCATTTGTTCACTGCTATGTGATCCAAACCCAGATGACCCCCTAGTGCCAGAGATTGCACGGATCTATAAAACAGACAGAGATAAGTACAACAGAATATCTCGGGAATGGACTCAGAAGTATGCCATGTGATGCTACCTTAAAGTCAGAATAACCTGCATTATAGCTGGAATAAACTTTAAATTACTGTTCCTTTTTTGATTTTCTTATCCGGCTGCTCCCCTATCAGACCTCATCTTTTTTAATTTTATTTTTTGTTTACCTCCCTCCATTCATTCACATGCTCATCTGAGAAGACTTAAGTTCTTCCAGCTTTGGACAATAACTGCTTTTAGAAACTGTAAAGTAGTTACAAGAGAACAGTTGCCCAAGATTCAGAATTTTTTAAAAAAATGGAGCATGTGTATTATGTGGCCAATGTCTTCACTCTAATTTGGTTATGAGACTAAAACCATTCCTCACTGCTCTAACATGCTGAAGAAATCATCTGAGGGGGAGGGAAATGGAGGCTCAGTTGTCGCATCCAAGGAAACAGCATTATTCTAGCAGCATCCATTCTTGTTTAAGCCTTCCACTGTTAGAGATCTGAGGTTACATGATATACTTTATGCTCATAACTGATGTGGCTGGAGAATTGGTATTGAATTTATAGCATCAGCAGAACAGAAAATGTGATGTATTTTATGCATGTCAATAAAGGAATGACCTGTTCTTGTTCTACAGAGAATGGAAATTGGAAGTCAAAACACCCTTTGTATTCCAAAATAGGGTCTCAAACATTTTGTAATTTTCATTTAAATTGTTAGGAGGCTTGGAGTTATTAGTTAATCTATCTTCCAATACACTGTTTAATATAGCACTGAATAAATGATGCAAGTTGTCAATGGATGAGTGATCAACTAATACCTCTGCTAGTAATTGATTTATTTTTCTTCAATAAAGTTGCATAAACCAATGAAAAAAAAAAAAGTTTGAGGACCCCTGCTTTAGCTGAATGGAAACCCATGCTTTCATTCAAAGATATTTTGATCTTTTCCATTTCTCCACCTTTGCTTTGAGAAATGACATTCCTATTCTTCCACCACCACCTACGCATGTTCAAATTCTAATCACTCTCAATACAAGGCCCAGATCACCACCATCCCACCGAGAAGCGCCCCCACCCCCCCTTATCTCTCCTCAGATCTCTCCTGGCACACCTGTATCTTCTTTCATTTTTCCCCCAAGAAATATTTACTGAGTAACTATTAAGGACCAAGTATGTGAAAAGTCAGGGAATGCAAAGATGAACAAAAATAACTTTTTCTTTAACGGCTTACAGTTTAGTTAGGGAGACAAAAGTACAGAATAATCACACCTTGTAAGTACCACACACAGCGGTCAGCTTAGGACTCTACTTGAGCATAAATCAAGAATACACAAATCCGACTTCACTCGGCACGCCAGGCAAGGATTCCAGCAGAGCTGACTTGGCTGAGTGGGAAATGAGGCCAAGAGCCTGCTTAGAGCAGCGGTCGCCAACCAGTGGTCTGTAGACCACTTGGTGGTCTGTGAGGTCCGAAAGGTTGGCAACCACTGGTTTAAGGAAACCTTTGGAGCAGCAGTCACTAACCGGTGGTCTGTGGACCATTGGTGATCCGTGAGGTCGGAAAGGTTGGCGACCGCTGGCTTAGAGGACCAGTGCAGAGCCACACTGCCTTCTGCTGTGCAGCGGGAGGCAGAGTGCTGGCGGGGAAAGTATGGACTTTGAATACCTTAACATACCACAAAGGGCTACTTTATGAACCACAATAAAATACTGTTTGTGGAAGCAATTTTTAAACTAAAAAGTGTTATGCAAAGTTAAGATATCATTTATTTATACATAACAATGCTTCCTATCTACATTTTGAATTTAATTGGCCACAGGAATCACCAGACCCACCCATTTTAAGAAACATTTAATGAGGTAGTTAAAGTTTAATAGAATGATATGTAACATTGTCCAATCCAGATTTTATGATACACTGCTCAACTATTCAATCTCTCTATATACACACATCCCCCAAGAACACACACACACATACAACTTCCAAAGGCAAGTGGCTTAAGAGCAGCAAATTCACTCATGTTTAAAATAAACACTTAAAAATATAATACCTTCAACAGAGATCCCTAATAATTTACCATTTTATTGTTAGCAACTTCCCAAATTATAAAATCTGTGCTATCTCTTTTAGTAGACACAGCTCGAAAGGGACTTTCCATTTTCTCCTTAGCACCAATAAATTCACAATCTAAACATTAGGGTGTCACATGGATTTCTAATATCATTTCAATATTTCTTCAGGAACATAAATTGGTCAATATAATGCCAAACTGTACAGCAAATAGTGGTTCTAACTGTACAGATTTATATTTAGAAACAGAGCTCGCCTTTAATACTATCATTCAGAAACATATAATCCAGGAGCCTGAAACAATGGGAAATGGTGGCAATAGGGAAAAAAGAGGAAGAGAAACGGACAGTGGTGAGGAGATGCAGTGAGTAATTGTAAACTACCATGAAATGGGAAGGGGCTTCTGGCTATGATGGCATGAACAGGTCAGGGAATCCTCTTCTCAAAACAAGAAAACAATAAGAACACTGGGCAAAGCTGTCCAACAGTCTTTCAGGGTTCTGGAAATCAATCAAAGGCAATTAATAGACAGAGAAATTTTTTGTAAAATTGCTAGAGCTTAGAGTAACACTATCAGGAGTCTACAAATTTATTGCCTAGGGCTATTCTAACCCACTAACCCACCCCCAGACTCTCAGCAGTGCTGGGGAGAACTTGGTTTTATCAGCCCAGGGCTGGGACCAAGCAAACCAGTAGACTCAACCAGGGGCATTTGGAGGAGACAGCAGAAAACCCACAGCTGTCAGTGGAAAGTGGCAAACTTAGTAGAAACCTAATGGAAAATACAGTTTTTCTAGTTTGAGGTTGTGGTCTAATCGGGGTGAGTGAGTGGTGGGCCAGCCAGAAATCTAAAGGGGAGACCCTGGAAATGACACAATCACAGAAGAGCTGGATACACTCTCCTCACTGACTATGAATCTATACAGATGAAGGGGAGATACGAGAGGCCCCAAGAGAAAGAAAAATCCAACTTGAGAACTGGCTGAACTTCGGATGTGCTTCCCACCCACAAATAGATGGTGAAAGCTTTACAAGCTGGAGATGCTTCAGCACCTCTGCCCAGATGACTGGCTGACCACTAAGCCATGCAGACACAGGGGCGACTGCTGGTCAGGCTTAAAAGTAAAAATGAGAGTGAAAATCACTATGCAGAAACATTAGTGCAGAGGTCCTCAAACTTTTTAAACAGGGGGCCAGTTCACTGTCCCTCAGACATTCCACACATGGGCACTGCGGGCCCGGGACGAGTCGGCTGCTACGCAGGACAGGCAGTGGCAGCAAAAACACCCGGCGGGCCGGATAAATGTTTTCGGTGGGCCGCATGTGGCCCGCGGGCCGTAGTTTGAGGACCCTTGCATTAGTGGCTGCACACCACAGAGTAGCTTAAGTCCAGGCAAAATACTTAAAACAAACACATACAAATCTTATTATATGGCTTAATAGCTGAATAAAGCTCATCTCCTGACAATCTGATAGAGGAAAGGCAAAAGAATCTAAAAACTACAGGTAGATCTTTCTATGTAGAGTGTAGAACGCTTTTAGTGCCAGAAAAATACTACATAATCCCACAGACAATATTATATATGTGATACAAACCTAGTGTTAATTTAAGACATTTCCTTTACTTTAGTAAGTTAGTAGTAAGAAGTGAAGTCAAAGAGTTTGGGGCCAGGGATTAGTAAAGCAAGTAGAGAGTTTGGATTTTATTCTGAGTATGTTGGGGAACCACTAGAGTTAAGCAGGAAAATAACATTATTTACATTAAAAAACAACAACAAACACCTATTTTGGCTGCTATGTGGAGAATGGCAACAGCAATACAAGAAATACTGGTAAGTGATGAGGTCTGAATTAGAGTAGTGATGATGATGATAACTACCTTACACAACTTAAACTCTTTTAAATCTCCCAACAGCCACTTGAGGTAGGTACTACTGTCTTCACTTTACAGGTGAGCAAGCCAAGGCAGAAAGATTAAATAACGGGCCCAAGGACATACTGCTAAGTAAGGGCCACATTAGGACTCAAACCCAAGAAATCTGGCAGAAGAGCTCAGCTCTTAGTCCTGAACACTATCCAGCTGTATTCTTAAAATAACGAGAAGAGGTTAAAGTAAGAAAATATTTTAAAGTATGGTTGCCAATACTTGCTGGTGGATGAGATGTAGAGATGAAGGAGAAAAAAAAAGAATGACTCACAGGTTTTGCTTGAGAAAGCAGATAAATTTAGTAATACGATTATATATAGAAAGGATGTAAATAGGAGAAAAAGGGGTCCTAGGACCCAGGCCTAAAGTACTGCAACATTTACTAGTAAAAGCTGAACAGGGAAAGAACCAGCAAAAGAGACTAAGAAAGAACTCCCACGGTTTAGGAGGAAAATAGTGGGGTCACAAAAGCCAACAGACTAAGCATTTCAAGGAGGAGGGAGGAGGCAATGTGCAGAATGCTGCTGAGCAACTGTGTTTGAGAACAGAGAAGGGACCATGAGAATTTTGCAGAATGAAAGCTACTGGTGAAATGTAAAAGAGCAGCACCCCCCTACGCTTAGTCTCACCACTGCACTTACCTTGTTAAACTGATCCACCTCCACACTGTAAGCTCCTGGGCTGGGCCTGTGAGTTTGAATGCTAAATCCTTATCTTCTAATTACAACACTTGGAGTAGAACTGAAGCAACATAAATGCTATGTAGTGTAATGTAAATGCTAAATTAATTCAAAAGGGTTTCTGGTATGACAATTAAGGTGAAGATCTCAAAGATGACATGTACCTTTCCACTGTCCACCTCATAATTCACGTACCGTAAGAGATCCGTTTTGTGTGCTGGGTGAGTTGCTACTCTGCTCTCCGTGGGCTTGTGTACTTCCGTAGAGTGTCAGGTTATGTTCACTGGTCTGGCCGGCGTAGTCCTGAGTGTGTGGCACTCCATATTCTGTGGGAATTCCGTTCTGTGGAGGAGGTGGAAACGGGATGGTAGTAAAAGGCTGAACCATTGCATCAGGAGTTGTTGTTGGCTCCTGGTTACCCTATAAGAAACAGTGAGAAAAAAAATGAGAAAAAGTGACTTTAAATTCTCATTCCATGATTATTTTTAATGTGAGTATACTCCTTCACTGCTCAGGTAAAATATAACACTGCCTTACAATTGAGGGAAATATTACACACACACACACACACACACACACACACACACACACACACACACATAGATGTATGCTCACACAAACACATACCAAACTTCAGTCAATTTGTGGTTACTAGACAGGTCCATGACGATATTCAAGTTAACTAGTTACCAGAGTCAAAAATTTTCCTTCAAGTTTTAAAAAATGCCAGGAAATTTCTCACTCAAAATAAGCTATAAGAGTTGAAATTAGTTTGTGTCATTAGTATTTTCTTTAGGGCATTCTATTCCTTTAGTAATTCTTAGGGGGAAACAAATCAAATTCATTAAATTACAATTCATAACAATAGGTAGAATGACATTATAAATTAAATTCTCAAAACCACACAACAGAGACTTTCCGATTTTAAGAGCATAGAGTTCAGGTTAACGACACAGCAGGACTCTCCACACAATACCCATTCCCACATGCTTGCTTGGGATCTAGTGTAATATTTGAAATATCATAAAGAACGTGCATTAATTATAGAAATTATTATAAGCCATTTTAGTTCCACAGTCCTTCTCTTATTTCTGTTCTTTAAGTTCACATACAAAATCCCAATTTAAATCTTGTGTAATAGATTTGGCAAAACCCTCCCTCCTCAACAATTTACCTCCTGACCTCCCATTTTATTCCATGAAAAGTAAAGCCGTAATTATACTGCACAAATCTACAGTCTTCAACCACTGTCCTTCTGGAAGTTATAGGCAGAGATGGCTTCAAAATGTTAGCACTTTGATCAACACTCACCTCCCCACCCCACAGTTTAGACATCAAATCATTGGGGATCAAAGAAAATCTGGGTTTATGTCACTTGGTTTCCTCCTAATCATGAGCATCACTTCCTTCAAACAAGGAAGTAATGTTTCCTTTCTCTCTCGTCCCAATTATCCTTCTTCCCCCTCAATTCAAGAAGGGATTCTCTACCCACTGAGAGCTGCAGGAAATGAACCTTCAGCAGCATTTTCTAAACCTCATGTCAGGCTTTTAACATTAACTTGATGGCCATTAAAACTCACACTATCGCACACAAAATGCATCCAAAGTTACAGAAAGATCTCCCACTATTTTTAAAGGAAGAATCAACCATCAATACCACAATCAGTTATTCTGCATAAAATAAAACAGAAAAAATGTACAAAGGCTATTATAAATGAAGAAGATACTTAATATAATAATGTTAATCCTTCCAAAAATAGCAATCAGAAGCAAATGTGTCTGGGGAAGGAACTAGGACTAAATACCTTTCCAATTTGTATATGAAAAACCACTAGGTAACTTTGGAAAAGGACAAACTATGAAGAGGGGCATGCTCTATCCTGTATTAACACTTGCTGTGAAACTACTGTGATTAAACAGTAAGAATATACAAAGGGATTAATGGAACAATGACAACCCTAAAAAAGGGTGGAGCTTATCTGGAAACTTAATAGAAGATAAAGGTGGTATTTCAATTCACTGTGTGTGTGTGTGTTGGGGGGGAGGTATTTATCCTATGGTATTTGTAAAAGTTGGGTACTTTCCAGAAAGAAAATAAAATGGGGGGGAGGTATTTATCCTATGGTATTTGTAAAAGTTGGGTACTTTCCAGAAAGAAAATAAAATTAACCCCTTAGCTTATAGCCCACACCAAAAAAATTCCAGAAGGAATAAAATCTAATATAACAACTACAACTATAAAAATAAAAAACTTGGGAGTATAACTGGAGTCTGGAAAAATCTTAAGTGAGACAGGAAACCTAAAAACCAGAAGGGAAAAAAGAGAGGGGGAGTCATAGGGAGGAAAAAAGAAAGGGGGAGAAATGGACCTCAAAATCAAAGTAAGCCAACCAGGGGGAAATATTTTCAACAGGTAAGAAAGACACAATGGGTTTTATCATTACTAATGCAAGAGTAAGTTACACAAATTGAAAAGAAATACAACAGAAAAAGAGGCAAACTGAATTATTCACAGAAGATGCAATACAAATGGCTGATCCAATAAACATGCTCAATCTCTAACAAATGAAAATACATATTAACAACAAAATAAGTCCAATTTTTAGTCATTAAATTAAAAAGTTTTATTGAGGAGTAATTGGCATACAATAAACTACATCTATTTGTAGTGTACAATATGGCCCATTTGACATATATGTACAAATTTCATATGTACACACATGAAGTCATCACCACAATCAAAACAGCAAACATATCCCAAATCCCCAAGTTCTCTTGTACTCCCAATAATAAGCATATGTTACTTTTGTAACAAAGCCTATAAAGTATTTTTAATATAAAAGGGAATGAAAAGAAAAATGGAATCAATAAGAGGAAGCCAATATGCTGAAGCATTGAATTATTGTGCTATTCTTAAGAAAATGAGAGTGACATTCCCTAGAGATAAAGATTCATAACGGTCTTTCATTTTAAAGTTAGACAGCATCAAAATCCAGCAGTCTCCAGTGTCCAAGAATAATTTCTACATGGTACGAAAGTTTGCTTTACATAAAAATCTTCCCTTTGTTTAGTTCTTAAAAATTATGCTATGAAAACTTACCCATAATTTTTCAGGGGAATGTCTACCATCACTGTATAAATTATTTTCATTATCTTAATGTTGGGCTATTGTAGATGATTTCTCCATAGTCGTTCTGGGCATCCTAAGAGGAAAGTAAAACAACTCTCTTCCTCTCCTTCAATCAACTCAATGTTACATCTCTATTGACCTACCTACCCACTCACCCACCCAGCCACCCAGCCACTCACCTACCTACATGAAGCACTATGCTTCAGAAGCCCTTGCAGGATTTACTGGCCTGAAGACAGATATGAAAGTGAACATTCAAATTCAGGTGGACTGGTGAATGAAAGAGACTAAGAGTACCAAAAGTCTCCACAGATCCATACTCCAACTGCAGGCATAAATATGATCTTACAGGGCACAGGGAGGGTCCACTAAGTGACCGGTAAAGGCTAAAAGACACTCTTTCCAGTTATGAATAACATGGCAAAGGGAACTGGGAACGCTCTGCCTGGGCTCCGCTCCCCGCCCCAGCCCTGTTGGGAACGATCCTCTAGCACACTAGTACACAGTCTTCACACTCCCACAGGGGTAGTCTCCATGAAGCTGGCTCAGCCAACTAAATAAACACATCAATTAGCAGTGGGAGATGAGGGAAGAAAGGTTAAAAACATTCTGTAGGATCCACTTGTAGCCTCAGTACTGTGTGTTTCAAAGAGATGAAAGGCAGAAAAGGAAGATCAAGAAGCAATTCTTGATAGATTATTTTGTTACTTATAGGAATGTTTTTTATTTTTATTAAACAAAAACAATCATTATACTTAAACACTAAGGGAATGAAATTGGGAGAGGAGTGATTTCATATTTTATCTCATACACTCTGCAATTTCTGAAAAATTTCCCAGTTATGTATGTATGTATGTATTATTATTATTATTATTATTATTAAAAATGTTAAATGGTTTCTGATGTCTATCAAATTTCCAGGTCATATTCCGGAGTTATAAGTACAGAAGAGAAGTACTATAGCCACCAGCAAACTAGGAGATAACAGTTCACATGATTATTTCTAGGCAAGAATTTACCTTTGTATTTGTGTGAAAATGCTTGTTATTAATACTACAGGCTAAAGCAGCTTAGTTGTCTCTCACCTGAGAAAATGAATTATTAACTAAATACCTACTGTGGGTCCACAACTGTCATAGACACTGAGACATCATAACAAAAGGTAGAAATATGCCTCTCAGGAGTGAACGGTCACATTAGGGAGGTTATTACAAATATGCAAAACTTCAATACGATTCAGAGCAGTAGGTATGAGTACTGAATTGGTGACACAAAGGTTCACTATTCCCTACTAAATACATTCAAACTCCTCTAGACCCTCCCTCACCTGGTAATATTAGCAGCTTACATGTAATGAATGCTTATTAATGTATCTAGCAATACACTAAGCCCGTGGTTCTCAACCTTCTGGCCCATTAAATACAATTCCTTATGTTGTGACCCAACCATAAAATTATTTTCGTTGCTACTTCATAACTGTAATGTTGCTACTGTTATGAATTGTAATGTAAATATCTGATATGCGGAATGGTCTTAGGCGACCCCTGTGAAAGGGGTTGAGACCCACAGGTTGAGAACCACTGCGACTAAGCAATGTATGTATGTATGTATACCCTATATAATAAAAGGCCAGGGACCATAAGCACAATGCCTGAAATGACTGCGCGACCAGTTGCCATGAGGTGCATTGACCACCTCTGGGTCCCTCCCCCTCCCCCGGCCCACGAGCAGCGGGCGGGGCAGCGAGCGATGAGCAGCAGCAAGCGGCAGCGAGCTACTCATGCATGATTTCATGCGCTGGGCCTCTAATAAATAAATAAATAAACACACACACACACACACACACACACACACACACACACACTAGAGGCCCAGTGCACAAATTCATGCGGGGGGGGGGGGTGGGGAGTCAGTCCCTCGGCCTGGTGGGATCGGGCTGAAACCAGCTCTCCGACATCCCCCGAGGGTCCCAGATTGCGAGAGGGTGCAGGCCAGGCCAAGGGACCCCACCGGTGCACGATTGGGGCCAGGGAGGGATGTGGGAGGTTGGCCAGCCACGGAGGGACCACAGGAGGGCTCCAAGTTATGTCTGACCCATCTCCCTCAGTCCCAATTGCCCAGACCCCAGCAGCAAGCTAACCTTTGTTGGAGCATCTGCCCCCTGGTGGTCAGTGCACGTCATAGCGAGCGGTTGAGCGGCCTTAGCATATCATTAGCATATTACGCTTTGATTGGTTGAATGGATGACCAGACAATTAGCATATTAGGTTTTTATTATATAGGATAAAAA